CCAGCCCCCGCCGTGGCCGCCGCGGCCCCCACCTTCTTGCACACGTAGTCATTGGGCAGGTAGACGACAGAGCGCAGCCGCTTGAGCATGTCAAAGATCATCTGCCGGTCACAGCCCTGGTGGGGAGCATCCAGGAGCCCCGTTAGAGGAAGGTGGGGGCTCGGGCCTCCCAGAGCCCGGGGGTGCGGGTGGAGGGGGGCGGGGGGAGGTACCTGGAAGAGTTCTGCAAACGAGACCCTGGCGGCAGTCAGAGGCTCAACCAGGCTCCTCCCCACCTCGTGGGCCTACTCCACACGGCACCCGGCCCGTCCACACTGTACCTGGCCCCATCCACACTGCACCCGGCCCCGTCCATACTGCACCCGGCCCGGCCCCGTCCACACTGCATCCACCCCCATCCACACTGCACCTAGCCCCATCCATACTGTACCTGACCCCGTCCACACTGAAGACCCCGGCAACAGTCAGATGCTCAGCCAGGCTCCTCCCCACCTCGTGGGCCTAGTCCACACAGCACCCGGCCCGTCCACACTGCACCCGGGCCTGTCCACACTGCACCCAGCCCCATCCACACTGCATCTAGCCCCATCCACACTGTACCTGGCCGCATCCACACTGCACCTGGCCCCGTCCACACTGCACCTGGCCCTGTCCACACTGTACCCTTCATTGCAATTGCCTGTACGCGATCTATCTTCCCTCCTCACACTATGACATCAGCAAGACCTCAGGTACCTACATAGAGCGAGCACTGTTTTTACGGAATGCTTTACGAAGATGATTCAGTCATTCTCCAGCAACCCAAGAGGTGCCCACTACTATAACCCCCACTTTTCAGGCCAGGACGGGGAGGCTGGGGAAGCCCAGGGGGATGGGCGCAGGAGCCCACCCAGGCCGTGGGCACCAGAATCTGTCCTGGGAAGGGAAGGGCTGAGCCTGTTTTGCCAACCAGGAAGTCTGTGGTGCCCAGCGGAGAGCCTGGCATGGATGGATATTGGTCCCTGGAGACAGGAAATGCACTACCAGTCCCCACCCTGATGCCCCCCCCACTGCACTGATGATTTATGAGCTCAAGCTCTGAGGAGCCTGGGCCGGCAGAGCCCCCCTCTGGCAATGTGCCCCCTGGGAAAGGGGGTGAGATGCTGATGTTACGAAGCTGTCACTGTGGGGAATGAGGGAAGCATCCTTTGTAAACTGTCGAGTCACAGCACTAGCAACGAGAGTAACCAGATCCTGACCCTCGTGGCCACAGACCACCACGACCTTAGGCGCAGGTGTGGCTTCTTTGAGACCAGAGGGAACCCGCAGAGGCAACGGGCCCTTTTCTTTGGCTGGAGAAGTTGGGGGGCTCCAAGGCACAATAGGGTGGCTCTCGGGCTTTCCAGAGGCCTCCAGAATCACGTCTAGGCTCTGTGAACAAAATGATTAGCTCCCAGAGATAAAAAGGAAACTGGGGAAATTTAAATAATTAACATATGATTAGCATATTCTGATTCCATTAAGGGTTCCCTTTAATATCTGTGAAAACCTTTCTGCATCTGCAAGAAATTTCAGGTAAGATTCCCCGCTTTGTAAGAATAGCTGAGCACACCCCACACCCTGACACGGATAAGAATGCAGGAACAGCAGTGAATTAAACTAATTGTAGCCAAATAATTTCAGAAGCAAAGCATAACATCAGCATATTTACAAAGAAATCTATACATGCGTGTGTCTATATTTGGAGACAGAGAGAGAGAGAGAGAGAGAGAGAGAGAGAGAGAGAGAGAGAGAGAGAAAGAGAGGCTTCCTTTTCTCCTGACTCAGTTGTACTCCCATCTCCGATGAGCACCCATTCCGAGGTGGGTGAAGTGAGGTGGGCAGAGCCCCCAGAAGACAAGCCCCTCAAGTCCCCAGGGCCTCCTGATGGCCCAGCCCCAGGCGCCCCACCAGCCTCCCAGGCCCCGCTCACTTAAATGTAGGGACGCAGCCAACAGAGGCCCCAGGCTGGCCTCCGGGTCACAGGACGAGGGCAGGCCCAGGTGGGCGGGGTGCCTGCAGGGGGAGTCTTACCCAGCATGCCTTGGGAGTGCCAGGTGTACTCGTACCAGGTCTTGACTCGGTTCTGCACGGACCTGGGGATCTTGTAGAAGTTCATGTACTTCACGGTGCTGTCCATGCAGCTGCGGTAGTAGGTCTGCCCGGCCGTGGCGGCTCCCACCACATCTCTCATCTGGAATAAGGGGGTGAGGCGAGAGGCTGCTGGCCCCCTGGGCGGCCTCAGGTCCCAGGGGCTGGGCTGATGCCAGGTGTACTGGGACCCCAGGTTGCAGGAAATATGCCCGGTGAGGGCGCGGGGCTTCAAAGGTAACTCTGGGGACCGCTGAGTGCCGCCTCCTGCACGGACTGGAATGTGAGCTACACACCCAGCACATCAGAACCCCCGCCCAGGGGTTGCTCTCTTCAAGGGCCCAGTTCCTCAGCCCCTGCAGAAACCATTCAGCCAGCTCTCGGACTTCCCAGAGGAGGGGCATTTCCCAGGGAAGCCAGCGCCCCGAGGGGATGGGCCCCAAGCCCAGGCTCCCAGGCTCAGTCTAAAAGGCCCAGACACGCGTGGGCACACCAGGCAGGCATGGGGAGCCGGACCGTGACCCAGCTACCTGTCCGATCATCACGGAGAAAGCGAAGACGCCCGTGAAATAGTTCAGCAGCTGGAAGACGATTTCAAACAGCGTCTTGGGGTCGGGCAGCCCCCCGATGGTGATGAGGGTCTTCACAGCCCAGTAGTAACAGCGGATGTAACTAAGGGAGGAAGAGGAAGGGCGGCTCAGGCATCACAGGCCCCGCTCCCCCGACCCAGGTGGCCTGGCCCTGACAGACGTAACCCTGCCCAGACGGGGTGGCTGAGCATCCACCTTTGAACCTGGAGGTCACGGTTCGATTCCCGGTCAGGGCACATGCCCAGATTCACACTCGACTCCCAGTGGGGGGCGTGCAAGAGGCAGCCGATCCATGATTCTCTCTCATCATTGATGTTTCTATCTCTCTCTTCCTCTCCCTTCCTCTCTGAAATGAATATATATATACATTTTAAATGGAACACAGGCCCAGAAGCTGGACTTCCCGGGCGCAAACCCAGCGCTGCCACCCTCCAGCTGCATAACCTGGACCAAGCCTCCGCTTCCTTCCCTCCAGCGGGCGTGTTCACAGAAAACACCCGTCACAGGTGACCCTGAGGACAGCTGAGGTGCTAGGACAGCGGCTCTCAACCTTCTGGCCCTTTAAGTACAGTTCCTCATGTGGTGACCCAAACCATAACATTATTGTCGTGGCTACTTCATCACTGTCATGTTGCTACTGTGATGAATCGTCATGTAAATATCTGATATGCAGGATGGACTTAGGCGACCCCTGTGAAAGGGTCGTTCGACCGCCAAAGGGGTCGCGACCCACAGGTTGAGAACCGCTGAGCTAGAAGAACACCTGGCCCAGGTGGGCTCTGGGTAAGTGTCAGCCATCGCGTCCCTGCTCTGGGAACAAGAGACTTCCGTGTCCTCAAGAAGTTCACCATCTGGTGGGGACAGGCAAGCAAACACGTAATGGGGAGGGAAGCAGCGGCGGTCGGCGATGGTAGCGGGGGCTCTCTGGCTGTGACCAGCTGGAGGCCTGGGCAGGGCTTTGAGCCGCCCTGTCCCTCATTTCCACCTGGTGCAGGGGAATCCCCGAACAACACCGGCCAGCCCTGTGGGGTCCCCTGTCCCACCATCCTGGCCACCAGAGGGCGCAGGAACGGCCTTTAGCCAGCGGGACTGAGCGAGGAAGCGGGGAGCTGCTGAGCCAACAGGAAGAAAACAGGCGTGATGTCCGCAAGCCTCAGCCTCCCCCCAAACCCTTCCTGGCGGGAGGGACCGTCCACTGGCCGGCACATCTCAGGGGCCTCCCTGAAGCCTTGTCTTCCGTGCTACCCGGTCTGCGGGGACCCTGCAGGATGAAGGGCCAGATATGTTGGGTCCTCAAGCCCAGCCCATAGCAGACGCTCGACAAATGGTCGCTGTTCTGAGTATGATAATTATCCATGGGATTGGGCTTCTGGGCTCCTAGGGGAGTCCTCCTTCGCTACTTGTGCTTTGGCCATGTATCGGGGTTCCCCGTAGGGTTGCCTTTGGAAAAGAGCAGTGTTGCCAAAAAAGGGGTGCCCTCCACGCTGAGCACCGAGAGCTCCCGGGGCCCTCCGCTCCCTGCTGGCCACTCCTCCCCTGTGCCCGCGATGGCGGTGCCAGGCCTAGCCCCAGGACGTGGGTCCATAGCTTGTTGGGGTACAGACGCCTCTGAGAATCTTAGTAAAGCCAGGGACTTCTCCTTCGAAGAGCCAGTATGTCCCACACATCTCACTTGCACCTGCGTCTCAAGTGCTCGGTACCCCGTGTGGCTAGTGGCTCCTAGTGGCTCCAGTATCGGACAGAGAAGGCATAGAACAGTGGTTCTCAACCTGTGGGTCGCGACCCCTTTGACAGTCGAATGACCCTTTCACAGGGGTCGCCTAAGACCATCCTGCATATCAGATATTTACATTATGATTCACAACAGTAGCAACATGACAGTGATGAAGTAGCAACGAAAATAATGTTATGGTTGGGTCACCACATGAGGAACTGTATTTAAAGGACCAGAAGGTTGAGAACCACTGGCCTAGAAGGCGAGGCTGGAACTGCTCAGGTAGGGAGGCTGCTGGGCAACCAGGCCCCGCCTACCTTCCCACGTCCTTCCACACCCCGCCCCCTCGGAGGACACAGACTGCACGCAGCTCCTTAACTCCATTGTCCTGCAGCTCCACACCTTTCTTTACAGCAAGGTTGAGAACCACTGGCCTAGACGGTGATGCTGGAACTGCTCAGGTAAGGAGGCTGCTGGGCAACCAGGCCCCGCCTACCTTCCCACGTCCTTCCACACCCCGCCCCCTCGGAGGACACAGACTGCACGCAGCTCCTTAACTCCATTGTCCTGCAGCTCCACACCTTTCTTTACAGTGCCCCCTCCCCCAGGCATGCTCTGCCCCTTCTCTCCACCTGTCAAGGCCAAGATCAAATGCAATCTTTCTGAACTGACCTTCTCGTTCTACCTCCGCAGCCCCAGGCAGACATTTGTGACACTGTGGTCACCCTGCCTGGGTTCAAATCCCAGCTCTCTAACTTAGGAACTGCATTGCCCTCAGAGGTTGTTGCACACCTGTTACCTCGTCTGTGAAACCGGGCAATGATGGTATCTCTCTTGTGTGATTGTTGGGAGGATTAAATGAGTGACTGTGTTAGCAGGGCTGATACCTTATAACTGCGCTGCGGTTCCTGCTATTATTATTATTATTATTATTATTGTCATTGCCATCACCATCAGCAGCATCATTTGATCATGTCCCACAGTGTATGACAGCTCTCTGGATGGGCAAGTAGGTTTCTTCTTTTTTTTTTTTTTTACAAAAAAATATTTTTTTAAATTTATTTCAGTGAGGGAGGGAGAGGGAGAGAGAGATTGAAACATCAATGATGAGAGAGAATCATTGATTGGCTGCCCTCTGCACACACACACACGCATACACTGGGGATCGAGCCCGCAACCTGGACATGTGCCCGACAGGGAATCGAACCGTGATCTCTTGACTCAAAGGTCAACGCTCAACCACTGAGCCATGCTGCCCGAAGGGAAGAACGTTTCGCCTTTTTGGCCAACCCTCGCGGGGCCAGGGATGGCCGGGAGCTGTGTTGAGGTTTCTGCGGCCTTGTTCCCACTCAGCTGTGCCCTTAGGGCACCCACCCCAATGCACGGCTAGACTCCAGGATCCCGAAGGGTCTCTCCAGCGGGTCTGGCTCAGGGCTGTGCCCCTCTGCCTGGCACGCGGCAGGGGCTCAGATGTTAGCTGAGTGAGGACGGGAGGCTTGGCCCCTCAACCTCATCACGGTGGCGGTTCCTTGGGATGGAGGAGGCCTGGGGAGCATGCGGGGACGGGGCTGTATATGGGAGTCCCTGTGCAGGGAGGATGGCCCAGGAGGAAGGTTGGCTCACCTGTTCCCCACGCCATCGTACACCCAGTGGGTGGAGCCAATGCCCTGATAAGCCGATGCCCAGTAATACAGGCATGAGTTCAAGTGCAAGCTGTAGAGAAGGTAGGCGGTGGTCCTGATAACCCTGCCAGGGAAGGAGAGGCGTGAACATGCAGCCGGGAGGGTGGCCGTGACATCTCACCAGGGGCAGGCGCACAGGGAACACACCAACCTCCCCTCTCCGGCACCCACCCCACAGATGCCCCCATGGGAGCTGCGTGGCCTTGCCCAGCTGCCTGGGGGTGGTCACTGGCCAATAGGGACAGCACAGGAGCCAATGCACGGAGCCAACCGGACGCTCTTTTGAGACCGCGCGCTGGGAGTGGTGGCTCAGGACAGCGCTGTCAGGACCAGGGCTGGTTTGGCCCAAAGCGGCCTGTGCATCAGTCCTGGGCAGTGCGTCCGTGGGCAGGGGCAGAGGAGGGACAGGGTGTGCAGAAGTGCCAGTCCATGAGAGAGGGGAGAGGACCTGTCCCCGACCTGCCCTGGCTGGCCATCCTTGGACACCACCCGAAGGCCCGCTGTGTCCTTGCTCCCGGTCCCCCAGGATTTGAGCGATTGGGGTGGGGGAGGGTCAGTTCCCTGAGCTGAGACCAACATGAGGCTTCGCTCTGGAAACAGGGGTGAGGCATGCGTGCCGACCGAGGTGTTCCCTTCTCACAATCGCGGGAAACGGGACATCCCTGCTCCCCTGAAACACAAACATCCCCCGAGGAGGGCCAGGAAGGGGCCCGGCTTCCGGCCGTGCTGAGGCCTGCAGGCCAGGGGAAGCGTGGGTGGAGGGTGTGTGTGTATGTGTGTGTGCATGCGTGTGTGCGTGTGCATGTGTGTGCGTGTGCACGTGTGTGCGTGTCTCTCACCTGTAAACGTAGGCTTTGCTGAGGATGGATTCCAGGCGGTTGTTGAACTCGAAGAAGGCCATGTACTGGAGGGAGAACAAGGCATCAGGGCAGCCTGCGGTCCATGGTGGCACCCCGTCCTCACGCCGTAGCCCAGTTCCCCCGGGGGTGCCAGGACTCGGGAGGGGGCTGGAGAGGGGACGTCCAAAATCACAGGTCCTGCCTGGCTGGTTTGGCTCAGTGGATAGAGCGTCGGCCTGGGGACTGAAGGGTCCCAGGTTCGATTCCAGTCAAGGGCATGTACTTGGTTGCGGGCACACCCCCAGTAGGGGATGTGCAGGAGGCGGCTGATCGGTGTTTCTCTCTCATCGATGTTTCTAACTCTCTATCCCTCTCCCTTCCTCTCTGTAAAAAATCAATAAAATATGTATTTTTTTAAAAATCACAGGTCCTGAGTCCTCGCAGGGTCAGGGCCAGAGACTCCAGTTACTAATCCGGCGGCAACCATGGCGCCTCTTCCTCTGAAGTTTCATGCCATCATGTCCTGACAGTTTAATCTCAGGGGCCTTTTAGACCTTCTCACTCTGATCATGCGCCTTGGAGGGGCCCCTGTGCCCTAGGTAAGGACACTGTTGTCAGTGTTACCTTAGAAAGAAAACCATCTCATAGCGAACCGTGTCCCTAACGCCCTCACTCACACCCTTTTTTTTCTAACAATAAAAGTAACCACACAGCCGCTCTCTGCGCTGAGCACCTTCGACCACCGCACCGCACCGTGACGAGCTTGGGGGTTGGGGTGCGGACCCCTGTGCAGTCGGAAATCCGTGTGTAAGTTTGGGCTCCCCACGAACTGAACTACTAACAAACAGCCTACTTTGCCCGGAAGCCTTGCCGATAACAATCAGTTGATTTACACCTGTTTTGTATGTTGTATGTATTATACACTGTATTTCTACAATAAAGGAAGCTGGAGAACTGAAAATATTATTAAGAAAGTCGTAAGGAAGAGAAAATACGTTTATAGTAATATATGTATTTATTTTTAAAAATCTGCATATCAGTGGACCCACGCAGTTCAAACCCGTGCTGTTCAAGGTCAGCTATATATACATGTATATATCTGTCTCTATAGCGACAGGTATGTTACCTGAGCACATGTTCTGCATGTGCGGTATGTATTAGCATTCTCCTTTTCCAGCGAGGAAACGCACTCAGCCCTTACCCAAAGCACACAGGCAGGAACTGACAGAGCCAGGGCTCGAACCCGGATCAGACTCGCCCTGCCTCTCTGAGGGCGACACCCTCCCCGCGCCTCCCGCTCCCGCTCCCGGTGCTGCCGGGGCGAAGCCATGGGTCCTACCTTCAGACAGCGGGGCAGCCGCAGGAGGGGGTTCACGCCGAACTTCAGGTAGAGCAAGTCCAAGGGCAGCAGGCACAGCAGGTCCATCTGCAATCCCCGCGGGCAGCACAGCGTGTGCAACAGGAAGCCCAGGGCTGGGGCGGTGAGCGATGGGGCCTCTCCCCTCAGCGGACAGTGAGCTCAGGAGGCCTAAGCGTAGAGCAGAAGGCCTCCCACCCACAGGCCGCTGACTGCCCAGCCCGTGCCAGCCCGGGGAGCCACGTCCCACCTGCCCCGGAGCACCCAGGGCCCCCTGGGGTACCACCTTCGTCCTTGCACACACCTTAAAGCGGGGAGACTTCAGGTAGTTGTTGCGCATCTCCTTTTTGTCTGTCTGGAAGGAAACGGAATCATGACCGAGAAATGGGGAGTGGCGATGGAAGTCCCTAATGACCCCCCACCTTCCTATCAGAGTTGTAGCCCCTGGACAAGGAGGAGACAGAATGGAACAGCTATGCTCGGGGAAGCCTCCAGGTTCCCAGGTGGGGAAGGGGAGCCCCCAGCCACCTGCTCCGCCTGCCGGCGACTCACAATGATGTCCCCGCCCCTGACAAACTGCAGGCGCATCTGGAACACGGTGATGTCCAGGAAGTAGATGAGGTCGCACAGGTAATCCATCAGCAGCCAGAAGTAGAGGCTGCCCGGCGTCTGGTAGGGGAAGGCCCAGCGCACAGGGATCAGCCAGCAGTTCCAGTTCCAGGCCAACACCACGAAGAACAGCCACAGGATGTACATCAGGTCTGCGGGCGGGAGGGGCCGGGGCGGCCGCGAGCCTCAGCCAGTGAGGTCAGGGGGGCTCTCTGTGTTCCCCTTGTCTGTCTGCACTTTCCTAGAAGCACTCAGTGTGACACTCCTATAACTTGGAGCGGGGGAATCTAGTTCCTGCCTTAGTAAATACACAATAGTACGTAATGCATAGCAGATGGACAGATGGATACACAGACATGTGGGTGGGTGGATGGATGGATGGATGGATGGATCGATGGATGGATGGATGGGTGGATGGATGGATGGATGGCTGGATGGGTGGATGGATGGATGGATGGCTGGATGGGTGGATGGATGGATGGATGGCTGGATGGGTGGATGGATGGATGGATGGCTGGATGGGTGGATGGATGGATGGATGGCTGGATGGGTGGATGGATGGATGGATGGCTGGATGGGTGGATGGATGGATGGATGGCTGGATGGGTGGATGGATGGATGGATGGCTGGATGGGTGGATGGATGGATGGATGGCTGGATGGGTGGATGGATGGATGGATGGATGGGTGGATGGATGGGTAGATGGATGGGTGGATGGATGGATGGATACCATAGGTCACCTGGTCATTTTAGAGGCCCAGTGGGCACCAGTGTCCCCCAAATGACTGCCTGTGTGACCTTGGGAAAGTCCCTCTGTGGCTCCTGCCCTGCCCTGAGGCTCAGGCCTAAGAGTTCAGATAGGAAAGGCAGGAAGATTCTCTGTAAACCGTAAAGAGCCGCGCACACAGGAAGGACTGTCACTCCTGAGGAATAGTAAATGGGCTGAAAGAGGGGATTCCCTTCAGATGTGGGAAGAACTTCCCTTTTCTGCTGAGAGCAGCACCTCCAGGAAGGAGCCAGCAAGAGCCGAGCAGAAAGACCTGGTCAGCAGTCAGGGCCCAGCTGCCAGCACTAGCGGTGTGTGTCGGCGGCGAACTTCTCTGCGCCTCTGTCCCCGTGTCTGTCCGATGGCTGTGATCATGGTTCCCTTCCAGGGATGTGTGTGTTTGTTTCGGGGTCACAGCCTTGGATGCCCACGGCCTCCCAGCCCACATCTGGCTCAGCCCCTCCATCCCGACCTGTTCTCCCGTCCTCTCGTGTCACGCGGCGGCCATGCCCACGGCCCAGCCAGGACTCACTGGTCAGCGGGTCGATGCTCCGGGGGAACTGGTACTTCCGCCAGGGCCGGCGCTTGAACTTGCAGCAGAGCATGTCACAGTAGTGCTCCTCCTCTGCCTGCGCCTCCCCGGCGGGCGTGGGGCCCGCGGCCGGCTCCGGGGCTTGCTT